GATCTTAAAAGCTTCAAATACTCTTAACTGTTGAAAATTTGTGGATATTCTTTAAATGTGTGAATATAAGGACATTCTTTACTTGATGCTTTTGAATTCACAACATTATATGACCGTGTGGACAGAACACTTTCGTGTTTCCAAACTCTGTGAATGCAGGCCTCAGAATTAAGTTGCTATGTAGACCGAAGTTATTACGGGGAACCAGGTTGAAATTTAAAGGCAGATACATTGAACATAGAACAACAGAGTTGAAAGAAGAGAACTTGGAGGTCATCTAGTCCAACCCCCAGCTCGAGCAGGAGATTCTATATCATTTCAGACAAATGGCTATCCAGTCTCTTCTTAAATCCTCCAGTGAGGGGGCACCCACAACTTCTGAAGACAAGCCATTCCACTGCTTGATTGTTTTCACTGTTAGGAAATTTCTCCTTTGCTTTTCTCCTTAATTAGTTTTCTGCTTTTTGGTGATTTGGAAAATAGTCCCCCCCCCTTTGTGACAGCCCTTCAAATATTGGGACATCTTGTCTATCTTGTCGAGCCGAGGTGGCACAGTGGTTAGGGTGCAGTACTGCAGGCCACTTCAGCTGACTGTTATCTGCAGTTCAGTGGCTCTAATCTCACCGGCTCAAGGTTGACTCAGCCTTCCATCCTTCCGAGGTGGGTGAAATGAGGACCCAGACTGTGGGGGCGATATGCTGACTCTGTAAACAGCTTAGAGAGGGCTGAAAGCCCTATGAAACGGTATATAAGTCTAACTGCTATTGCTATACTGCTATAAATGGCCCCCCTGGTGGCCATGAAACATTGTTACCAATCAATAATTTTAATGAGAAGTGAAAATGAGGAATAAGGACAGGAGAACAATCAGATTAATTATAATTAATTTTAATTCAACTTAAATGCAAATGATGACAAATTTGATTTTTGTTGTGGCCTCTCCCACCGCTTCTTGGAATGCAGCCTGTTTGCATACCACGTCACCCAAAGACCACATAGGGCGTTCAATCAAGAAAAAGTTGCATGCCCCTCTTTTTAACAAAAGTGCCCAACTGAGCAACCTGGACAACTCCACATTGTCAGTCTAGTGTAAACATAGTGTAGACATTTCATTAGTTATTTGCACAGAAATTCACATTAGAAATGAAAACTGGACTGAGTCATTCACTGTTCTTTTAAATATCGTGCTGCCTTTATCAGAAATTCTGTATGCGCTCACATTCTTCCACCCATCTGACATAACATGATCTTATCTGAAGCTTTTAATTGCTATTTTTGAACGACTCCAAAAAGAATTCTCAAGTCTGAGGATTCGTTTTCATAATATGAAGAGACTTTAAAATGGTGCTTCAACCAATACACCAAAACTAATTTTTAGAACATTTTAATTGATAGTTTCAAGAATAAGCTTAGCTAGTTAATAATAGCCATTTTCCTATAAACTGTTACAGAAAAAGTTCATCTTAATAATTGTTTACTGTAATTATTCCCATGGAAATATATATATATATACATTACATACAGGTCAAGTTTAACTTTAAAATTTAAAAACTGAGGTCTGTTTTTAAGAAAAGAAACATTTTATAAATGGCTAATAATATCTCTAGAAAGAAATAAAGAGTTAAAGAAGTCATCACTTTTTCTTTTGCAACCACAGTAGATTGCGGTGCTTTGTTTTTATATGGCAAAAATAAATGAATACATTTGTTTACAATGATAATGTTGCACAATGGCATGAGAGAAAGAGAACTACACTGATAGCAACTTATATAAAGCTCATTAAAAACAATCTTATAAAAATACCACACCGAAGGGAGAGGGAGACACTACTCTGTTATTCAGTATACAAACATAAATGCTTCCATAAAATAAAAACATCCCTTCAAAGAGTATAAAACATCTCATGAAACTTTTAGCAAGATTTTTATAACAAATGTGACTGTTTGATAAATCTGCTTAAATAAGTATATATACTTCAGCACCCTGCCTTTCATTTCCGAGTCTGAGCCAATATATATATATTTTAAAAGGAGGAACAAAAGAATGTTTTTACCTAGAATGTTTTAATAAATCATTCGAGATATATTTGAAGGTATCATTGCCTTCCGAAAGTTTTTTCTATATGTTTTCTTTAACCATGGGTGGAAACTCTGTAGAACATATGGGCACATGAAGAGGCTGATTACCAGCTGAACTGAAGGATTTTCAAGTTTAGGAGGATATAAAAATCAATATCAAACGAAAAGGCACTGTTCTAAAACAACAGTATATTAAAAGAGCCAATGATGTTAATAGTGTAAGCTGAAATGATTTAAAATGTAAACATTATACATGATTACACTTCCTTTTCTGTTAAATGTTTCTTGACAACAGTACTTTTTAGATTCTTTATATTTGGCCATTGCGATGACAAAATGCGAAGAACAAAGACCAGAAGCAACAGAGAAAACAGATGATGAGGTATTGTGAGAAATTTGGAAATTTTGCCTCGGCTCTTCTGATTTTTGACATGTTAATAGGAGCAAACATTTCCTCCTTGTCAAGCTATTAAAAATGAAAGCTGAATTTTCTCAAGAAGCATATTTGCATCAGTTATAAATCCAGAGGTGTGAGCAGCACAACTGATTGATCATCCAAAGAATCCAGTACTGGCTTACTATTCACAAGAGCTGCACCGTGGGCACACTTACTTTACACACTTACTGCAGTGGGATTTATTTTCAAGTTAACATTGTCCTTTTAGGTCTACACAGCTGTTTAAAGTCCAAGGAGGTATCATGTAATTTTTAGGAATAGTGTCAATGTTTCTTTGTCATCCAAACTGCTTTGATTGATCAATTAGTAATGAATTGTAGTAAACAAAATAACAATTTGGTTAACTATTATAATCAATATTTTTCATTTCACTATAAGGTCAGAGAAGTAACCATTTATAGTGGAACCATTTATACTGTGAGTTGCCATTTAAGGTTAAGAATCTTTCCATAGCTTAAGGAATAAGCTGTTTCGAACTTCTCTGGGTATGAAAATTTTATTGATCTACTAAAAGTAGCACTTCTAAAATACACCTTATAATGGAAGGGATGGCCAATTGACATGATACAGTAGCCAAACAGATGAAGTCCTGATTATTCCAGCTCTATAGAAAACAGATCCCAATTTCTATACACTTGAAATATTAATAGCAAAGTTATTTTTCTTTGTCTCTTCCAGTTTTAATTTCCAGTAAAGCAAGAATGCCGAGAGTTCTAAATATAATTTTATCTGAAGTTGTTCCTGATTGTGTCTATCAGTGCGTAATCTCATCTTGCAACTATTTCCCTTGCATGCTTTATTTACCTGAAGAGGGTCCACAGTTGTAAGGCCAACCGGACCATGCCATCTGACCTTTTTAGTCCTATACCAATGTCAAATTGATGTCAAACTTGTATTGTCATGCTGTCGCCACGTGTCGTATCGGGACTTTTTTCCCCATTGCTAAACTGGGCATGGGCGTGGACAGCACATGACGCATCTAGGCTGCAGGCCGCAAATTTGATCATGGGTTATATTATGGGTATGAGAGGAGGGAATATTACAAATGTGAAGAGTAAGGCCCATGGTGTGTTGCCACCCCCATTCCTTCCACCCTGGGAATTTTGTCATGTTTCAGGTATTCAAGAAATCCTTTCCTTGGGAAGACAAAACAATGTTGCTGGTTACTGACAGCAATAGTATTTCCTCAAGCTGGATAAGAAACTAGGTTATCTTTTAGACATGAAATAAATCTAGTGTGCTATAAAGTTAAGTCACATGAACCAACAGTTCTGAATTAACAAATCTGCTTGTAAAAAAACCCCTTTTTTAAAAAAACACTTCATCAAAAGAATTGTATATTATGCATGGCAGTAATTGTTTTCTCTTACCTTTGCTGCTGGTTTGGAAGTGGGAGTTTGCACATGGCACTTCTGCGCATGCAGAACCAACTGAATACCACCTCTGATGTACAGGTCCAATTTATAAATTAAAATATATATTTGAACATTAACCAAATTTCGAGTGTATCTTCTAATTGAATTTTGATTCGACAGAGTTCGCAGTAAGAGTTTGATATTCAAAGGGAATTCATATTTCCATGATATGCTTACATATAATTAATGACTATATGCTTTTTTAATGCAGGATCAGTTATTTTTTCATGGGGCTAAAATCATGACATTGAATATGAATAACCATATACATCCCATTGAAATAATAATGAAAGACAAATCTCGTGTGTTTTTAAGTAACTGGAATTCAGTTTAATTCCTTCTGACTTTAGAAGGATTTAAAGCACTTTAATTCCTCTGGATTGTAATAAGTGTTACTTAAGTGTCTTCATCTAAATGAATTTACACTACATACTTCTGACATTCAAGTAAACTCAAAAGGACTATAAAATAGTTCTGAGAACAAAGTATGTTATAGCATTATTCCAAAACACTGCAAAATGGGTGGAAGAATTAAAAACCTTGCAGAAAGAAACAAAAACGTAAAAGATCACTGAACCTTTCTTCACCCCCACTCACTCCCCTCCACCCAGTTCTGTTTAAAGTGCATGAATGTGTGTGTTTCTCCCCACTTAATGTCACTGCAACTCTTGCAAATAATTAATTAAATCCAAACATTTTGGCTCATCTATGCAGCAACATCGTTTGAAAAATAAAAAAATCCTATTAAGTATTCATCTAAATGTACCATAAAATAGCAGCATTAACAACATCTATAATGAAATGAAATGGTTAGCAGTGCTTAAGATCACCTGACATACATCCAAAATGAGTTTTCCTTCCTACCGCAGAACCGGGGAGGCAGTAGCATACAATCCATAAAGAGCTGCATATACATGGAAGGAATAACTGTGCAAACGGTACAGGGATTCTTTGAAGCTTAAGTTTTGCAGCTGTCTGTGGAAGAGAAAAATGGCCTTTCGACTGGTCTCTTTCAGCAGCAAAAGCCATTGAAGTAGAAAGCTTTGCCCTGTACGCACAATTCCTCCCCCATGTATACACCTACTTTAGTAGGTGGTCAACAACATAATATAGGTATATCCTGGTAGGAAAGCTCAACAAATATCTCCTCCTTAAAGCTGAATGTGAATTCTAAAAATTATAAATCTGACAGCTAAAGAAAAAATCCCACTAAAACAGGCATGTATCAGAAAAAGAGCAAATGTCCATTTGCTACGAGGCTTACACTACTGACCGGTGCTCCCCACACACATAAACAGCACTAGGTCGGATACGTCTTCTAGCTTGACCAGGTAGCTGTGGCAAAAACTTGAAGTACTTGGGCACCAAGTCTAAACACGCATCGTGAAATTTCTTGATTCTCCAGTAGTAGATGAGTGGGTTCAGAGCAGACTTGAGGTAGCAAAGCCAAAGGAGCCAGGTGCTTATCTCAAAAAAGTTGTGCTTGTGATAAAAGTGGCTGTTAAATGTGGCAATAAGGCTGTAGGTGGTGAAGGGGGCCCAGCAAATGATGAAGACAATGAACAAAATCAATATGGTGGTGAAGGCACGAGTTTTAAAGCTCATATCAATATTCATTTGAAAAGGTCTCTGGAGGCTCATGAGACCAAGTTTACTAGCTTGACTGAGGCATATGCCATCTGGGTGGCTGTGGATACGAACCGCATTGTGCCGTACGGTATTGAGAATGCCCATAAAAGAATATAACATTACAGTGAATGGAATGAAAAAGGAGACCAAAAACACCACTATTACATAGGCGCGGTAACCCGGGTTTGTTGTGTAGCCAAATACACACTGGGGTGCTTTGGAAGGTATCTGTAGGCTGGGGTTCCCCACAGAGAGTGGAAAAGCCACAACAAAGGCCACGAGCCACGAAGCAGCGATGAGCACTTTTGCGCGGTAAGGGTTCAGCTTGTCCTGCCTTTGAACTATTATGAGGAACCTGTCAATGCTGATGATGAGCAGTATGGCAACTCCTTCGATGACAAACAGCCAGAAGAACATGGCAGAGACTCTGCAGAAGACATCCCCGAAAATCCACTGGGTAGTGATGATGGTTATCAGAGCAAAAGGCATGTTCAGCACAGCGAGCAGCATGTCTGCAAAAGCCAAACTAGCTAGAAGAATGTTAATGGCAGATCGCATCGCAGTCTTCTGGTAAACCATAAGGCAGACGACCAGATTACCCACAAAAGAAATAAGGAAAATAAATATCATGGCAGCAGAAAGAACAATCTGGAGTGGCAGACTCAAGCTTGTGAAGCCTTGTAACAGGAGGGCAGGTGTACTATTGATTGTCAAAGGAGCTATCTCAGTAGTAACCATGGCACCCAAATGGTATTTCAGTAGCTGAGCTGTGCCCTTACGGACCAAGATCAACGGAGTGGTAATATTGGCATGGGCATGTTCATAGACGATAAAAGTTGTGTTTAATGACACAGGATGAGCTGGTGTCAGCGTTGCAGGAAAAACCATCACTTCAGCCGAGGGAGAAAGCGACTTCAAGGCATTTTAATAAATAAGACGGTGTCATGATGCAGGGCCCTTGGCAAAATTATAGTGACATAACCAGAAGAAGGAAGGTTGACGGGTACCCTTCATGGCAGTGCTTTGGTCTGAAAAATCAAATAGGAACCAAAATGTTAAAACAAAATATCATACTACTGAATGTACCAATACTGCTGTGGACAAAAACTGTGCTCCTCAACATTTCCTGCGTTATCCAGCACTATCAAATATTTAAATTGGATGTACAGGTACGCCTTAACCTATGGCCACAATGGAGCCCAAAATTTTTCTTGCTAAGTGAGACATTTGTTAAGTGAGGTTTTTACCCATTTTGCTACCTTTCTTGCCACAGTTGTTAAAGGAATCCATGTGGTTGTTAAGTAAGTGACAAGGAAGTTAAGTAAATCTGACTTCCCCCCCCCATTGACTTTGCTTGTCAGAAGGTCCCCAAAGGGAATCACATGATCCAAGGACACAGCAAATGTCACAAATCTGAGTCATTTGCCAAACATCTGGATTTTGATCACATGACCATAGGGATGCGGCAACTGTCGTAAGTGTGAAAAACGGTCATAAGTCTCTTTCTCCAGCGCTGTTGTAACTTTGAACAGTCACCAAATAAACTGTGATAAGGTGAGGAGTACCTGTATATAATTTTAAAGAAAAACTGGATTACAGCAGCTTGCCACCATACTTTTCGCTAAATGTCTCTAGGCATGAGAAACTAATGACCGTCAATCATGGCCTTACCACTAAACTTTTAATTAAAAAGAAACCCTTTTCCTATCAGTCTCTGTCAGCCTGTGGGAAGCAACTATGGCCAAATCTGGGTGGGGCATTCAAAGGGCTGAGGAAGGTGGTGATGTAGAGAAGGGCATTTATGTGAAAGCATGTGCATGTTTGTGTGTTGCATTTCTGTCAATGGATATGTACGTAAATATATGTTGTTATTGTTTGGGGGGAGATGAATTTAGGCTGTGATCCAGAAAGAGACAGGCTCATGTGATGAGGATATGTCTAAAAGGAATACTGTGCATACTGTGAACTCAAACTTATTCCTATTAATTCATTTTCTTTATTTCTGACCATTCCCAGTCCATTGTATTCATGTAGCTCTCATAACACATGATATTTTGCGTATCTTAACCTGCCTTAATCTGAATTCACAAAATTCACAAAATCAGTTTATTGATTTAAAACATTTTGATAGCTGCCCATCTTACTCTATGCGGCTTCTAGTTGTACTGTTAGAGTCAAACCTCTTTTTCATGCACATGTCTAAGAGGACAATTGCAAGTCTGCCTGCCTGCTTCCCCGTCTGTCTTAGGGCAATAGAGCTTACGTTACGGACATAACTGTGTTTGTTATATTTGAATAGACGCATTTCAGAAAAAAGCATCATCACTCATTATTCAAAAAATAGAGAAGATCACATCTAAACTTCATTGGCTCGTTTATAGAGAAGGGGTGTCAAATTCGATTTCATTGAGAGCCACATCAGGGTTGTGTTCATCTCAAGGGGCTGGGAGGGGGGGCATGGCCAGGATGGGTGTGGCCAGGTCAAAGTCATTTATCAAGGCTCCGTTTTTTGCCTCCTGCAACCCTCTGCCAGCAAAATCGGAATTCGGGGAGGCCCCATGCAGCCCCCCCGGTCTTCATTTTTGGCTGTGATGGCTTCCATCAACCCTCTGCCAGTGAAAGTGGAGCTCAGGGATGACGCGCATGGCGCTCTTCAGCTCCATTTTTGCTGGCAGAGGCACTGTGGGCCGGTCCTTCACTGTTTCCAGGGTGGGCCAGCGGACCAGATCTAAGGACCCCATGGACCAGATTCGGCATGCAGACCTTGAGTTTGACACCCCTGAACTAGAGGATGCAATGGAAGAAAGTACTTCTGCTTTCATGAGAACAAGCATATGGATCATACACACAATATGTGAATACAGTCTTAGAGAATAAGGAATTATATGATACAGTACCCATAATTCTTAGAGCATCAGTGCAGGAAACCACATGACACAGCTGACTTTCCAAATGCATACAAAGAAATCAGCAGGGCAGGTTACAGATGGTGCTGGATGTAGGAGCTGGATTGAAATTCACCTGGACGAAAGAGGAAGAATCTCTTGGATTGCAGGAAGCTTGGGAGGGTAGAGTGAGAATATTGGAGAAATAAAGCAGTTGTTGAGGATCGAGATTATGAGAGAACTTTTATATAATATATTGTACATTATTTCAGATAATCAAGTTGTGAGATGTTTGTCAGCATTGGTCCTCTTTTTAGCTTCATTTGTCTGCTATTCCCTGCTTTTTAGAAGTGGACCCACATGTTAAAAACTATTCAATACCCATCCAGAAAGGAAATCAACAACCAAATTTTGGTAGCATTCTTAAGGCTACCTAATATAGGTAAAGATAAAGGTTCCCTTCTCACATATGTGCTAGTTGTTCTCGACTCTAGGGGGCGGTGCTCCTCTCCGTTTCAAACCGAAGAGCCAGCAATGTCCAAAGTTGTCTCCATGGTCATGTGACTGACTAAACACTGAAGGCACATGGAATGCGGTTACCTTACCACCAAAGGTGATTCCTATTTTTTTACTTGCATTTTTACATGCTTTCGAACTGCTAGGTTGGCAAAAGCTGGGACAAGTAATGGGAGCAAAGTCCATTATGCGGTGCTAGGGATTTGAATCACCGAACTGCCAACCTTTCTGATCGACAACCTTAGTGTCTTAGTCACTGAGCCACCACGTCCCATTCTACCTAATATAAATACCAAAATAAAATTAGACATGTATACATTCTGTACATATATATAGATATATATATATATATATAT